TATTTCAGGTACAAGCCATAATTAACATTATTTTCATTATTCTCTATCATGCTCCTACAATTTTGAAGAAAAGAAGTTTCTGTCGAGGATGTAAAGGGGATTAGAATATAACCTTGCAAAAGAGGATAGTAAAATTATTAATTAAATTCAATTTCATTTCCTATTATGAAATATATATGTGAAATTTATTTGACAAAGTAATTTGAACTTCAATTTTTATTTTAAACAAATGCACAAGTGTATTTTATATCTAGACTTTAATCAATTGACCCAGTGATATATTCAAAGTGTTAAAAAATCATAGAGATTGCTGATTTAGCTTTGGGCTTCAAAATTTGAAACATTAGGAGCCCACGTGGCTAGCGGAAATTTTGGTTAAGTTTAAACCATTCATGACATTGTATGTAGAAATTAAGTTAAGGAATAACTTTCTTATTTTTTTCGAATTCATGAAGTGATCAATGGATTGGCTTGTGTGATAATTTGCATGAACTCCGAAGGTGTCAATCCATTGATCATCTTCATGAATTTGAAAATCTGACATTTATTCCTTATATTTACATGCCTTGATTCCGCCAATCCACGGGCTCCGAGCCTGCTTCTCTCTAGGTGTTGTCCCGCCCTGCACGTGTTTTTTTTTTTTTGGAACCGAGCCATGACATTCATGTAGAAATCAATTACATTTACAATTGCTAATTTTATCTCGGACAAAGACATTGGAAATGTAAATATTATGAAATAAACAAAACAACAACGAAAACATTAAAATTACATATTTTATATATTTATGTAAAAGAAATAAATTTAAAATAAATGAACAGGTCTGCTTTTTATACACCAATCTATGACATCCGATTATTATCGGTAAAATCATATCGGAAGTAGTAACCGATTCCAACCGATGATCGATTATGAAAATTAACCGATGTCCCATCACTAGTACAGAGTGGTGCGTTTGATAATGTTCGAGGAAGTAAATCAACAATGTGCATCAGGTTGCTCTTAATATTATATTAAATTAATCTCCCCTGGTATTTCTATATTTCTGTTATATTCCTACATTCGATACAAAAAATCAATCCCCGCTCTTACAATCTCCCTGGTATTTCTTTATTTCTGTAATACACATACATTCCCTCGTTTATTTCAAACATTAAATTTTTTCTTTACAAAAAATCACACAGCGGAAAAAAAATAAATAATAAGGAATAAAAGAAACAACGGAATATCAATGAGTCTTTCCAGAGAAAGCTGGAAAGATTATAAAAGAAACTAAATATATTTTTTGTGGGAACTGGAGAACATTGGGGATCTTCAACCGATTTCTGACACAATAACTGTAAATAGAACAACAAAAGCTCTACTGGTCAAGTTTCTGATTCAAAGGCAAGAGAACTATACTTGATTTTAATAACGATGAAAGTCTTAGTGATGATGAATATGTGAACCTCTTGGGGATTTCCAAGGACTCGTATAAAGACTTACTTGTAATATTACATTGAAGGAAAAGTTCGACTCACTCCAGCAAGATGTTTTAGGACAGGTTTAGTGATATTTTTAATTAATATCAGAGGAAGAGAATGTCATCGAGTTCAGTCCAAACTCCTCAATGTGTCTAAATCAGTATTAGAAGATGCATCAGTTCTGTGCGATCAGTCCATACAAGAAGATTTGTGTAAGCGAATTTGGGTTTCCAACCCATCACATGTTCTGATGTCATACAGCACCACAGAAGAAAGATCGCTCTAACTCTTTCTGGAAGCAGTCCAGCTGGAAATCAGGTGATTTTGGTTTCGAATGGGACATTTACATCTACATAAACAAGAGTACGTGGAAACTTTCTTTCCAAAGACAGTTTTTAAGCGTGTTACTCAAAGGACGTCCTTTATTGAAGCCCTTGATCATTGTGTTAACAACTGGCCACTTAATCTCAGTGATGGGTCCATATCTGCCCGAGACAAAGATGTCAGTATAATCAAACATATAATGAAGAATAACATTTAGGACATTCTTAACTGGCTGCAAAAGGACGGTATTTTTATACCCCCCGCAAACGAAGTTTAGGGGGGGTATATTGGAATCACCATGTCCGTCTGTCCGTCCGTCCGTCCGTCCGTCTGTCCGTCTGTCTGTAGACGAGATTTTGTCCGGACCATTACTCAGAAACTATTAGAGGGATTTGTCTGAAAAGTTGTACACATATTATTCACCATATGAAGTTGTGCACCTGATATTTTTCATCTTGATTGGATTATTATTTTGAATTTTACAGGTGTTTTTTCATTTTTATTTTGTGGTTTATTTTGGACCATTTCTCAGAAACTATTGCAAGGATTAATCTGAAAATTTGTACAATTATTATTCACCATATGAAGTTGTGCACCTGGAATTCTCAACTCTTTTTGTTTATTTTTCTGCATTTTACAGGTTTTTAAAAATTTTAATTGACTTGTTCATTTTGGGCTCATGTATAAGGTTTGAGACATAGAATCTAGAATATCTGTACAAAAACGTGAACTACAGCTTAAAATTACTCATAAAAACTTAAAAAAAAAAAGAAACATCAAGTGTTAAAAACAGTTTTTACATTGCACAGAAGATAATGTAATTTCATTTGTCTCTGGGGAATAATGACTGGACATGCATCCAGTTAAAGATAAATTAATGAGTTTGGTGTTGGAAGTTGTTTAGGCATATCTCTTATCAAGTGTGTGTGTGTGTTATCAAATCTTCAGGGAATAAGGCACAAGAATTAAAGATCTCTCTTCTCTTATTCTCTTAATTGTAATTTATTGTCTGTCAAAACACTTCATTACTGGATGACCAGTTCTTTATTTTCAAAATGCATTTCAAATTGATATATCAAGATTAATTATACCCCCCCCCGCAAACGAAGTTTAGGGGGGGTATATTGGAATCACCATGTCCGTCTGTCCGTCTGTCTGTAGACGAGACTTTGTCCGGACCATTACTCAGAAACTATGGGAAGGATTTGTCTGAAAATTTGTACACATATTATTCACCATATGAAGTTGTGCACCTGATATTTTTCATCTTGATTGGATTATTATTTTGAATTTTACAGGTGATTTTTCATTTTTATTTTGGGGTTTCGTTTGGACCGTTTCTCAGAAACTATTGCAAAGATTAATCTGAAAATTTGTACAATTATTATTCACCATATGAAGTTGTGCACCTGGAATTTTCAACTCATTTTGTTCATTTTTCTGCATTTTATAGGTTTTTTAAAATTTTAATTGACTTGTTCATTTTGGGCTCATGTATAAGGTTTGAGACATAGAATCTAGAATATCTGTACAAAAACGTGAACTACAGCTTAAAACTACTCATAAAAACTTTTAAAAAAAGGAAACATCAAGTGTTAAAAACAGTTTTTACATTGCACAGAAGATAATGTAATTTCATTTGTCTCTTGGGAATAATGACTGGACATGCATCCAGTTAAAGATAAATTAATGCGTTTGGTGTTGGAAGTTGTTTAGGCATATCTCTTATCAAGTGTGTGTGGTTATCAAATCTTCAGGGAATAAGGCACAAGAATTAAAGATCTCTCTTCTCTTATTCTCTCAATTGTAATTTATTGTCTGTCAAAACACTTCATTACTGGATGACCAGTTCTTTATTTTCAAAATGCATTTCAAATTGATATATCAAGATTAATTTGATTTTGTATAATGTTTTTTTTTTCAACAATCAGTTTGCAGAGTGACATAACACATAATTGCAATATATTTTTTTAATGCAGTAATGAAGAAAAATTAAATGAAAAAAAAATGTTACAATGGAATTACAATGTATTACAGTATTAGTATTGATGTTTCATTTGGTTGCACCTCCGTTTCATTCATTAAGAAACATGATGAGCAATTATATTTCACTGCAAATTTTTTAAAGTAAATTGTGAACATCTCTAGATCCATAAAGTATTTTTTAATTGGCACCTTCTCTGAAAAACCCAGCGGGGGGTATTTGTCCCTATTGGACAGTTCTAGTTATCGTTGATTGTGGAAGGATTTAGAATCATATACATATATCAATAGACTTTAATCCATGTGTTGTTAATGACAAGACTGTTTTAAACTTTTAAATAAACCAGAAGTCTCTGTCGAGACTGAAGCTCTATTGGTTTGAACTTATAGCAAAGGAAGACAAGATACTTAAGAAGCTGGGATTTGAAACTTTATAAACAGCATTAAATAGAATAATAATCGTTGATAAAGTCTCTTTATGTTCTTAGTGTAGTCTACTTGTGTGCCAAGTTATACTGAAATCAGACCAAAACTGTAAGAGGAGTAGCAATTTTACAGACATTTCTATTTTTAGTAACCATGGCAACACAGTTCATCGAAATCAAAAAACCGATACACAGAATTATATATCTTAGTGTAGTATACTTGTGTGCCAAGTTATATTGAAATCAGACAAAAACTGTAGGAGATGTAGCATTTTGAAGCAATTTTACAGATATTTCTATTTTTAGTAACACGACAACACCATTCATTGTAATCAAAAACCGATACACAGAATAATGTATCTTAGTGTATTCTAGTTGTTTGCCAAGTAATACTGAAATCAGACCAAAACTGTAGGAGGAGTAGCATTTTGAAAGAATTTCAAAGAAATTTCTATTTTTAGTAACCACGGCAAGGCCGTTCATCTACATCAAAAACGATTCACAGAATTATGTATCCTAGGCCATTTTTTTTATGTAGTTGTTTTACGGATCCGCCAACCTCATTTTTGTAGTTTTGGAATAAAAATAAAAATTCAATTCAGTCCTTTTTTTATTACCGTCGACCGAATTATTCTCCAATTATAACAAATAAATCCGGAAATGATCGTACGTGGTTTAAATTTTACATATTCGTGATCAAAATCATGTAAACGCTTAAAATAGTGACCTTTTTAAGGTATTGATTCAAGCGTTTTGTAGTTTTAGATAAGATGAATAAGCATGGTTTTGAGGTCATGAACAAGCATGGCCTTTTATTTCAAAACAGAACTTAAGTGCTTTAAAGATAATAGTAAGTGTAGGACAATTTTCATGAAATGTAAGGATGACCAGACAGTCGGCGATGCTGTATACGGTCTCATTAGTGAATGGAATGTCGTGGTGGATGAAATAAGTGTCAAAACAAACGAATCAGATGCTGACACTACATGTAGTACTCCACCCGACACCCCTGTGTCTGTTCTTAAAGGTTTCGGCACGAAGTTCTTAACTGTAACCATTAGATCTAAAGGTTAGTTTCTTCAGTTCATATGCTGTTTTAATATGACATTTAAGCATGTATTCAATTGAATGCAAGTGCGTTTCAAAAATCTGCAAAATTTATGTTTTCAAATAAAATAATTTTATGTTGACTTGTACAGGTATGAATCTATCAAATAGTTCTGACATCAAGTTTTAAATTTAAGATGTGGGAAAAGAAACTGATGACTCATCAGGATCTAAAGCAAAGAATGCTTTAAGCATACTAATGAATATCAACAAAAGTTATACAGAACTGCCAGAGAAGAGGTTGGTATATGGTACAGATTTTAATGATTCATAGTGCTAAAGAAAGTTAAAATATTTAAAACCTGGATAAATACTTGTTCAGTTCAGTTAAAAAATCAGAATCTGCAGTTACAAGAAATTTGTGGTTAAAAAAAAATAACTTAACTTTTTTTTTTGAAATGAAATATGAATATATGTTATACAATACAGGTTTTTTTTAAGATATCCAAGTAAGAAGGTAAATATTTCTCTTTGACATAGGTGTGTGTACTATATTTAACCCTTTCTTCTATGTCCATATTAATGGTTGTGGCTGCAATGTGGCAATGTTATCTGGATTTAGTATCTTTGTATAACCCTTTCTAGCATTAGCTCATTTATATACATAAGCGCACATATTAATCCTTTCAACTCTACCGTCAATCCCTGTTTTATCTGTCTATAACCTGTATCCTATCATTTTTTTTAATGCTGTGCCAGTCAAGTATGGTGTTAGTCAGTAAATGAAAAGCTTGGATCTTACTTTGGGGTTTGTATGAGACTTTGATCCATGTAGAAAAAAAAAATGGAGAGCAGCATATATTAATAATTTAAACATCTTGTCTGAAAGGAACTCTTTTAATATTTTCAGAAATGAGATCAACTCGAAAGACAAGTTATATAGCCTGGTTTTGAAGATCATGAAAGAAAGAGGGGTGGGGTTTACTCCTCTACAGGTAAAAAAAAACCCAGACATTGATTAAATCATATTTTTTAAATTATACCCTGTAAGCAGAATTTTTAGGGAGAATTTAATTTTGGCATTATTTGTGAGGGTGCTCAGATTGCTAAAATTGAATATTGCTAAAAATTAATTGCTTTTTATTTATAATAACTCCTTTTGTGAGCATTTAAAAATCGCTAAAATTACATCTAGCTAAAAATAGAATGCCACTTTTTGCGATCCAATCGCTAAATTTGTGTCTCGCTTAAATATTCACTTATATGGTTACTCATTTATTCCATGAGGAAAAATAACCAGCTTCATTGCTTTGGTTGTCCATTAATAGCACTTCTTATAATAGAAGCAAACTTACAGTCATATAACATGCGTGCCCTTTTAATCAAGAAAATTTCATAGTAGTATTGTTTTTCAAAATAATTGTGTATACTGTAGGTCGGCACACTGGGGAAGAGTACAGTAAAGGCTTTGTCTGATACACAATGGTATCTTGATCCTCATGTCCCCAAGTTTGAGCAGCGTGGAATTTATTTTCATGGATTTGAAAATTTCAGAGGATTTAATGAAAAGAAGAAAGAGCCTAGGGTATTTAATTCTATAAATATTATTTTGTATTAATTATTTAATTCTATAAATATTCTTTTGTATTAATTAAAGTGTTTTCAAATTTAAGAGTAATAATCAGATATTAAAAGTTTACACTTTTTGACATTTTTTATAAAGTACTTTTATAATAAAATCTATATATTAAAGATTTCCATATATTAAAGTATAATGTTCTTCAGTAGGTTGAAACCCCCAACAAAAACAAATCCAAACTAATAAATGATGGCATCAATGACTTAAAATGAACTATGTAAATTTCTATTTTATTTGATATGGATTTCTGCCGAAGAGTTGCACGTCAAGTTAAATTCCCTTGTGGACATGCTATCTTCGCCATATTTTCTAAGTAAACAAGAGGCCCACGGGCCTTATAGGTCACCTGAGCATTATGCAACAACTTTCCAGTTACAGTGTATTGAATTTGATTCATGTTTTAAGCCAGATGCTATATGGCATTCACAATTTTGAAAGAGGCACCATTGATCATCATAACAATACACTTAACAGTTGCTTAGCTTGGTAACTGAATGTAGGGGAACAAAAATGCACTCCAACTAATCAGTAATATTCAGCAATAATCAGTAGTGCCCCTAACACTGTGACATAAACCCCTGACCCTAGGTCCAAACATTGCACAAATTTTTAAAAGGCACCCTTAAAATTGCCTATCAAAAAAATAAATAAATGTTTTATAAATACAAAGGAGCAGATTTCAAACAAGAAATTCATTTTCAGTATATAAGTAGAGCCCCCACCCCCACCCCCCCCCCTGACCCTGGGGCCTTAAAATACACAATTCTGCAAGATTAGGGCCCTTGCTCATCATAACTATATAGGTAGTTCATCTACTTCATACCCTGAGACAGAGAAGAAAATTTTCAAAGATTTAATGAATTTTTACTATATAATCACTAGAACCCCGCCCCAACACCAGAACCCTTGACCCTGGGACCATAAAATTCACAATTTTGGTAGAGGCACTCTTGCTCATCATTACTATGTACTTAGTAAGTTTATTTAATACCTAGGAGCAGAGAAGAAGATTTTCAAAGAATTCATGTATTTTCACTATATAATCAATAGAGCCCCCCCGCCCCCCCAAACCAGAACCCTTGACCCTGCCCCCCCCCCCCCCAAACCAGAACCCTTGACCCTGGGGCCATAAAATTCACAATCTTGGTAGAGGCACTCTTGCTTATCATAACTATGCACTTTGTTAGTTTATTTAATACCTAGGAGCAGAGAAGAAGATTTTCAAAGAATTCATGTATTTTCACAATATAATCAATAAGGCCCCCACCCCAACACCAGAACCCTTGACCCTGGGGCCATTAAATTCACAATTTTGGTAGAGGCACTCTTTCTCATCATAACTATGCACTTAATTAGTTTATTTAATACCTAGGAGCAGAGAAGAAGATTTTCAAAGAATTCATGTATTTTCACTATATAATCAATAGAGCCTCTCCCCCCAACACCAGTACACTTGACCCTGGGGCCATAAAATTCACAATTTTGGTATAGGCACTCTTGCTTATCATAACTATGCACTTTGTTGGATTATTTAATACCTAGGAACAGAGAAGAAGATTTTCAAAGAATTCATGTATTTTCACTATATAATCAATAGAGCCCCACCCCCCCTCCCCAACACCAGAACCCTTGACCCTGGGGCCATAAAATTCACAATTTTGGTAGAGGCACTCTTGCTCATCATAACTATGTACTTAGTTGGTTTATGTAATACCCAGGAGCAGAGAAGAAGATTTTCAAAGAAATAATGCATTTTCACTGTATACTTATTTTGCCCCGCCCTAGCACTTGAACCCCTGACCCCAGGGCCATGATTTTCACAATTTTGGTAGAGGCACTCTTTCTCATCATAACTATGCACTTAGTTAGTTTATTTAATACCTAGGAGCAGAGAAGAAGATTTTCAAAGAATTCATGTATTTTCACTATATAATCAATAGAGCCCCCCCCCCCAAACACCAGAACCCTTGACCCTGGGGTCATAAAATTCACAATTTTGGTAGAGGCACTCTTTCTCATCATAACTATGCACTTAGTTAGTTTATTTAATACCTAGGAGCAGAGAAGATTTTCAAAGAATTCATGTATTTTTACTATATAATCAATAGAGCCCCCCCCCCCCCCAAACACCAGAACCCTTGACCCTGGGGTCATAAAATTCACAATTTTGGTAGAGGCACTCTTTCTCATCATAACTATGCACTTAGTTAGTTTATTTAATACCTAGGAGCAGAGAAGATTTTCAAAGAATTCATGTATTTTTACTATATAATCAATAGAGCCCCCCCCCCCAACACCAGAACCCTTGACCCTGGGGCCACAAAATTCACAATTTTGGTAGAGGCACTCTTGCTTATCATAACTATGCACTTAGTTAGTTTATTTAATACCTAGGAGCAGAGAGGAAGGTTTTTAAAGAATTCATGCATTTTCACTATATAATCAATAGAGCCCCCCCCCCCAACACCAGAACCCTTGACCCTGGGGCCATAAAATTCACAATTTTGGTAGAGGCACTCTTGCTCATCATAACTATGTACTTATTTGGTTTATTTAATACCCAGGAGCAGAGAAGAAGATTTTCAAAGAAATAATGCATTTTCACTGTATACTTATTTAGCCCCGCCCTAGCACTAGAACCCCTGACCCCAGGGCCATGAATTTCACAATTTTGGTAGAGGACTCAATGCTGATTACAATCATGCAAATAGTTTGACTGCTTGATGTCCAGGAGTAAAGAAGAAGATTTTTAAAGATTGCATTAATTTTAGTGGTTTTGGCCCCACCCCTCAGGCCCCAGGGGGGCAGGGATCATGAAATTCACAATTTTTGTTCCCCTTCACCCATAGATGCTTTGTGCAAAATTTGGCTGAAATTGGTTCAGTGGTTGCTGAGAAGAAGCTGAAAATGTTCAAATGTTAACACACGACGCACGACGGACGACGGACGATGGACGACGCACGACGACGGACGAAAACGGATAGCAATAGGTCACCTGAGTTTACTCAGGTGACCTAAAAAGGAGCTGAATTCGGGAAGTTTTGCAGTATATTAGTGGAGGGAATGAAGAAATATTTTGATTTCCTAGAAAAGCAGAATGAGCGTTCCGAAATGAATAACAGTGTCCAAGAGCCAGTGAGATCTCTTATTGATTCATGGTTAATGAGAGCCATTCCTGTTTCTGACAAATTGGAACCAAATTATGCTCCTTTGCATGAAGCCTTGAACAACTTTGATGTTTTTGAACCACTGTTCCTTTACAACATCCAACCTGATGACCGCTTCGATCGTAGAAACTGGATACAAAAGTCGACTTTACCTTATCCATGTAAACTCTACTAACATTCATTTGGAAATTACTTTGGTAACTTCAATTTTGTGTGGAAAATATCAAAAGATGAAAATTCTGTTGAAGGAGATTTGGAAGCAGTGGGAAGTATCCGAAATGACCTGCCTATATTTTCAACTAGAGCAGTGAGAAAGGAATTTGTCAACAGATATTCCAAATGTGGAATGAAGCCAGCTATTTTTAGAGATGTAAGAAGATTCCTGACTCAGGATTCATCTTCTTGTGACAGTAGCAGGCAGCAGGAAGTTGCAAGTTCCAATGGACGTCCCAAGGATGAAGAATTAAATCCTTTCTGGGAAGGACTTGAATCCTATGTAAGTGAACATGCTGTTGTCCATGAGCGCAGACATTCACAAAGCATGTATATGCCATTGGCAATGAGTGTTGAGGATCTTATTGATATCATCTCTAAAAGGATTCCTGAGGGCTCAAAGATACCTTCCAATTCATGGGTTTCCTTCAACTTTTGGCCCAGCAATCCATATGTTAAGTCCGCCATGAACTACACAGGTAGATTCCAGGTGAAATATGCAGTACAACAGCTTTTAACCAGAGCTAAGCACCCGGATTCATCATTTGCATTTCACCAGTTTAGAATGATGAAAGAGATGACTGTGAAGTATGCAGAAGAGGCTCACATGATATGCCTTGATGACAAGGCCATTGTACCAGTGAGGGGGCCTCAGTGTCCTATTTCTACAAAAGTTCGTCCCCACAACAGGGTGTTAATTGCGGTGGGTGCGACCTTATCGGCACTCGACCACGATTTCCATGTCCATGGTATCATACCATCAGTGCTGTTCAAATTAGACATTCCTGAAAGTGCTGATGACAGTTTTTACTACGGAAAAGTGCATGTGACAGTAAAAGATAGTGTTTCAATCTTCTAATGCAATAAGGCACTATGCAGAAAATGTAAGGATTCTCAGAGAATAAGACAGTCAAGATGGGGTGGAATTATCCAGGCCAATTCTGTTTGTATTTACCGATGGAGGCCCAGATCATAGATCCACGTATTGGAGTGTTCAGTTATCGTACCTAGCAATGTTTGTAGCACTGGATTAAGACTTGTTAGTAACAGCCAGAACAGCCCCAAGTCAAAGTTATAATAACCCAGCAGAAAGATGCATGAGTTTGTTGAACATAGCTTTACAGAATACAGCCTTGCAAAGAGAGAAAATGGAGGATCAGTTTGAATTCAAAGTAAAGTCACTCTCCTCCTTGAAGAAAATTCGGGATGCTGCTTAAAAACAACCACAGTTGAAGACTGCATTAATTGAATCACTTGAACCTATTCAGGCTATGTTAAAGTTGAAGTTCTCAAAACTCGAGTTGCACGGTGAACCAGTTGCCACACATGATGCATTGAAGGATGATGACAGTCCTCCCATTTCTTCTTGCAAGGATGCCAAGCACTTACATGAGAAACTGAAGTAGTTCATTGACAACCACTGCAGAGCCCGCCATTATAGTTATCAGGTTCAATACTTTTTTCCTGGTTTATATTCAGTCTTATATAAAAGAGATAAAAAGTTTTCTGATTTGAATGTCTGGGCTACAATGCCTACACCA